ATGGGCTCAAGCGTGGCAACAATAATGAGGTTGGCCCAGGATCGGGCAGTGTTTTGTTCTGCTGTAGATAAGGTCACTATGAGTCAGCACCAACTCGATGGCACCTAAGAACAACAAATGTCTGTTGTATATATTTTTGCCAAAAAAAAAAATTAATTAATCAATTAAAAAGAGGGTGACCCTCAACCAAAGTTTGAGTGGAGTGGAATTCCAGACAAAAGGAATACTGCGGGAAATAACCCAGAGTTCCAAGCACCACCTGATTCATGGTAAAAACTTGATAAACACTGTGGAAGGAAAGATACAAGGGAAGGCAATACAGACTAACAAAAGTAAGCATTTGGCCAAGAGGACTGAAAAAGAGGATGCGTTGATAAAAAGTAGACCCAAGTAAAAATAATGTGAACTCTTTTATGTCATATGCTTAGGACTTTAGCCTGAAGACCAGTCTGTTTGAAATATGGAATGCGAAATCAATTTAGGGGACCACAGGCAGGATTTTTAACAGGATAAAGCAGACTAGGCAATATCAGAATCTACAGCATATGGAAAATCCCATCACTGCCATCACATCAATTCTGACTCACAGAGACTCTGAAGGACAAAACAGAACTGCTCCAGAGGGCTACTGAGGCTGTCATCTATCAGAAGCACAATGTCACATCTTTCTCCCACAGAGCAACTGGTAGGTTAGAACCGCTAACCTTTTGATTTTCATCTGAGCACTTAACCACTGCAGCACCAGGACTCCTTCATAATAGCATAAACCTAGGAAATAGACTTTCCATTTCAAATCTTGTGATTTGCATTGGTTACAAAATACAGTAAAAAAAAATTTCTAAATACTTCAAATACATAAGAATAATTGAGCTAATTTTTTTAAATTCTATTTTGTTTTTCAGCATGTACTGCATTGTAAGTACAAATCGGTACTTATTAAATAAGAGGGAAACACTTTGTCTTTTCTTTCCTGAGGGTATCTTTAATTGGCTACCTCTAATATGGCATATTATATATTATGCATTTAGGTTCCTGGGTTATTTACAGTAACTGAACAGTTTTCTCTGGGAAAAGACCTCATGAGAAATCCACCTTGTTTTTCTAAGGTTCCCAGAAGGATGGCAGTCATATGGCATTAGTTAACCAGTAGAATATAAATTATTCATGCACATTTTCAGAGTGTAAAATAAACAAAAATGACACACATAAATTAAAATTAATCAGAAGAACTGGGTACCAGGAATACATATTACACTGAAAATTGTGAGATGCTACCACTGGGTGAGGGGGAGGGGGGGAAAGACCATCCATCCCCATGAAGACTGAAAGAGAGGTATTAGCAATAGATACCTACTCTGAATACAATTTATCACTCCTGATCACTTTCCTAAAACCTCCATTTCATACTATCTAGTGTGTCTAAGCATAAAAGAAAACAGATACCATATGCACAGAATTAAAATATACTTTATGTTCTAAAAAAAGATCATTAAAACAAAAATAATAACAGATGTTTGTTCTTATTAAGTGCCGTCGAGTCGGTTCTGACCCATAGCGACTGTGAACAGGGTTTTCGAGGCTGTACATCTTTACGGGAGCAGAAAGCCTCATCTTTCTCCTGCAGAGCAATTGGTAGTTGCGAACTGCTGACCTTGTGGTTCTCAGATCAATTCGTAACCACTACGCTACCAGAGCTCCTTAATAACAGATGAGTATGTTTAAAACTTATGTATCTTCACTTCATGTACATATATACTCAAACATATTGGAGTATATATTTACATTATATATGCCAGTAATTTAAAGTAAACTAAAAAGCTCTTTTGGAGTCCTGGTGTGGTACTGTTGAGTAATGTGCGGGACTGCAAAGTTGGTTTCAATTGCAAGGTCAGTGGTTCAAGCTCACCAGCTGCTCCTCCAAAACTCTATACAGGGTCGCTATGGATTAGAACTGACTCCACAGCACTAACAACAACAACAAAAGCTTTTATACCCCCTAAAGAAAAGGATTATCTAGAAGGTAAATCAAAATGCAAAATCTGATAACATAACCCCATTCACTTTTCAGATTCTTACTTTATAATATATTGAGTACATTAGAGATTTACTAATAACTTCAGTAACATAGTATAATAAATAAAAGGAGCACTAGTGGTACAATGGTTAAACACTCAGCTGCTAACTGAAAGGTCAGTGGTTCAAATCCACTAGTGACTGCAAAGGAGAAAAGATGTAGCAATCTGCTCCAGTAATAATTACAGCCTAGGAAACCCTATGGAATAGATCTACTCGGTCACACAACAACAACAACAACAACATAGCTCTTCTCCTGCATTTCATTATACAGCTATTTTTTTTTAAAGAACGTGATTATAAAAGACTCATATTCTTTCTGCTGAATTTTATTAAAGAACATCATTCTTTCCCTAGGATATGTATCTCTGAATATAAAACTAAGCTTCAATTTCCAGAAATTTGCTTTTCCCTATACTGTTCTGTGGCTCTGCAGGATAAGCACTGGTCTTCTAACAAAATAGTCGGTGGTTCAAGTCCACCGGATGCTTGAGAAAGAAGAGGCTTTTAGCTCTCGTAAAGATTTACAGTCTCAGAAACCCTATACAGGGTTGCTATGAGTCAGAACCGACTCAAGAGCATTTAACAACAAACAAGATACAGTACTAGGAATATCAACTTCATTTAGGGAGACACTTGTAAAAGTAAATCATATTTTGAAATCTTTCTTACCTTGCCTTTCTGACTCAAGGGTTCAATTGTTAAGCTGTCGGGGCCAATATCCACAATATTGCCCATCTGGAATCCATCTGTAGGGTGTGGTGCCCAAACGGGCTTTCCATCCTCCATTTTTGAAGACGGCTATCCACTATCTCCTGTATCAAAGAAACAAATAAGGAAACATGAATAACTTTGGAAATATAAAGAATATACTTGTTTAAAAGACCAAATGCAAACTGCCACATGATTACTACAATTCTTGTCTAGAAACACACACCCATCCCTACCACATACGTTTATTCCTGCCCCTGCCCCACTTTAATCAACTTTTCAGTTACCAAGGCACATCAGCTCTATTACTGTCTCACTTCAGTTGTGATTGGAGCCGAGTACTAAACTTTGACAGATGAAAACAACAGTGCTACTTCTTGTCTGTTGTCCTAACATAATTTATAATACCACCATCCTTTTACTATTATAAATAGTTTCCACAATAAACTAAAGTCATCCAAAGAATAGATGGCAATGTGTTAGCTAAGAGCTGAAAAACAACTCATTAAAGAAATGAGAGATTTGACACATGACTTCCTCTGGGAAACTTTCACTGACCACCTGAGGCTCCAAGGGTTGCCTGCCTCATCCACTGTTCTTTATAGAACCTCTCAACCCATTGTTCTTATTCTTCATTTTCTTAGTAAAGCAAAATTTATATAGAGTGAAATGTACAAATTCTAACAATACACCATTTAACAAACACTCCTGGTCAAAATTAACATGTCTATGGAATAACATGTCTATTTCTAGGCTTTGGACATATTATCAGGAGGGACTTCATAGTTGGTAAAGTGGAGGGTCAGCAAAAAAGAGGAAGACCCACAATGAGGCAAAGAAAAGGAAGACCACAATGAGATGGATTGTCACAGTGGCAGTAGCAGTGGGCTCAAGCATAGCAACAATTGTGAGGTTGGCACAGGATCAGACATTGTTTTGTTCTGTTGTATGTAGGGTCACTATGAGTTGGTACCATCTCAATGGCACTTAACAAAAACAATCACCTCAGAAAATTCCCTCATGCCTCCTCTTCTATTTAATCTCCACCTCTCAATACCATTCATTATGTTTTCTATCATCTGTCCTTGAATTTCATACAAATTTCATACAATATATATTCTTTTGTGTCTGATTTCATATATTCAACAAAAATGTTTCTGAGATTAAATCATACTGTTGTGTACTATTCTATTAAACAACAATACCACAACTGTTCTTTTGTCCTATTGATGGACATCTGGATTATTTCCAACTTTTAGCTATTGTGAATGCCAATTTAATTTCCCCCATTATTCCTATAAAGCTTCAATCATCCTCTGCATTCTAAGGTTTTAAATGTACAATTTTGGTTTCTGAGAGTAACTAAATAGTCTATGGCATGCAGAATATTTCATTTTCATGAACTTAAATACTATAAGAAAAATATGCACTAGCAAATAGTGATAGTGATCCCAACACAATCTTATTTGACACCACTGATCAACACCTAAAAAAGTGGTGTTGCATGTGTTGTAATTCTTCTCATCTGTTCTCATCAAATCTTGTCAAATCTGGGATTCCTATTCGGATGTTTTCATGTCTAGTCTCATGAAAGTCAAAGATGTTTGGCATATAATCTAGACAAAAAGGAGTTAACTACTGGCAATGTGCTCATTGATTAATGTCTTCTATGTGATGATGTGATGCTGCAGGATAATGTATTAGACCACAAGGTCAGTATGAATCGTAATGTCAGTGGTTCAAAGCCACTCCTCAGAAACCCTATACAGGCAAGGTTCATTATGAGTCAGGACCGACTCAAGGGTATTAACCAACAATATGATATGCAATGGCTACAAGGAAAATGCCCCAACCAATAAATTCTATTAGATTTATGTGTAAGGCTCAGTTTTGTTGCTGTTGTTGTTGTTAAGTGCCATCGAGTCGGGTCCGACCCATAGCGACCCTGTACAGGGTTTCCGAGGGTGTAAATCTTTACGGGAGTAGAAAGCCTCATCTTTCTCCCGCGGAGCGGCTGGTAGTTTCGAACCGCTGACCTTAAGGTTCGCAGCCCGATTCGTAACCACTACGCTACCAGAGCTCCTTTTGATGAAGATATATATATATACACACACACAAACATATACACACACACACACCTTTCCCCCTAGAGTTATATCCAGTCCCATAGCTATAAATATCATCTGTATGAGTCCTGGTGTAGTGCTGTAGGATAAGCACTGGACCACAAGGTCAGTTTGAACTTCAAGGCCCGTGGTTCAAACCACCAGTCACTCCTTGGAAAGCCTATACTGGGTCACTATGAATCAGAACCAACTCAACAGCACTTAACTACGACAACATACACATATGTGAAGGATCCCCAAATTTATTTCTTCAGCCACTTAAGAACCCAAACATTTCCTTCTAATTGTGAACTGGATACCTTCTATGGTTATATCTAATAGATGTAACAATATTATTACTATGTCCTAGGCGCTGTTGTCCTATCCAATCGTCAATTCTGCCCCATATCAGGAACAGTACCAGTAGCACACAGCTGAAGTCAAAGCTGCAGTCATCTTTGATTCTTCCCACTCCTTATAAAACCATATTGTTGTTAAGTTCCGCCGAGTCAGTTCTGACTCATAGAGACTCTATATGGGGTTTCCAAGGAGAAGCTGGTGGGTTTGAACCACACATCTTGCAGTTAGCAGTCTAGTATTTATCCTACAGCGTGCCACATCAGGGCTCTTCCAAATCCATATCATCCCCCAATACTGTCAGTTTTACCTTTAATAGGTATCTCAAATCCATACACTTCTCTATATCTCCTTTCTTATCCTAATCCAAACCATCATTGCCTTTTACCAAAACTTCTGAGATTAATTTGTCTGCTTGATTCTACGATTGCCACTCTTTACAGATGGACAGTAATTCTACTGAAGAGTAAATCTGATCATGTCACTCTTGTAACATCAGGGCATGGACTAGTTCCCTCTCTGTCTCTAAGCCCAGAACACAGAAAGCACTCCAATATATTTACTAGATGAATGAATGAACTGTTCACACAGTAAGAGTAAAATGAGATGGCAGACTGAAAAGAGTCAGAAGAGATCAAAACTTAGGTTTGAAACTGGTCTCTACCTCGTTCTTACTAATTCTTTTAGCTTGTGTAAGTTAGTTAGCCTCTCTGATCTTTATCTGTATCCCTTACCTACACTAGGGGATAATATCACTTACCTTACAGAATTGCTACAAGGATTAAGTGACATAAAACTGAGATCACGAGTCTATTGGCACCCAATAGATGCTAGTCATACTTCTCATCTTTCCACCCTCTGCCCCCCTCCCACCTTATCCATATGGCTTGTTTGGAGCACCAGTGAGTTTCAAGACAATGTGGTAGTTCTAAATACAAAGAGAAATCAGAATAATTATCAGTAATCATTTGGGAATAATTATCTAAATGTGAGAAATAATAATCACAACAAAGCAAATCCCAAAGCTCAAAAAAGAAAGTCACATTCTCTTAACTATTCCAATTGCCTTCCCATTTTGAAAAACTGTGCTACCATTTCCTAGTTAAAATAAGGGGATTTTAAAAATCATAAACCCACAGGGGTGGGGGAAAACAACAACAACAGTAATATTTTGGTTAAAGGGCAAATGACTTACCAAAAACAAGAGGCCTGGATTCTAAAAGAGAAATGGGAAAACATGAAAATAATTCCAAATCATACCACAAAATCCTCTAAAGGCAGAAGAGTTACAGTAATAGAAACTGCTAGGACTAGAGATGAAAAGAGGGGATCAAAAACAAAAAAGACTGAGTGAAATTTAGAAAGAGGGTTCCTAAAGCCACCAAACCTAGCACACACAATACTGGTAGACAAATGCACAGACATATTCCCAACCCATCACCACCACCACCTCCAAGAAATCTAGAGGTTTCTTCTCTGGAGAAGACAGAGATACTCTAAAATGAGAAACACCTTGTACAATTAAGTATGTACATAGAAAAATTCCTGCATGCAGAGAATACCACTACCTGTCCCTCACCTTAGGCTCCCACATTACTAGCAACCAGACCTCTCACCGCCAGGTAGGAGACTAGAAGTCTTTTCTTATAGAATCTGATCAGCCTAAGAAGAAAGACCTAAGATACTACCATGGGCTCGTTCCCCGAATCTGAACACCTAGATCACCTTAAAGTACAAATCAACAACATCCACTCAGTCTTGTAGTTCCCCACTGTTAATCAAATATCCTAGAAAGTCTCTAACACTGAAGGTAGAGAAGACTATAAATAATAAGTAGAACTTGAAGAAATCAGAAACCATATAGTAGACAGAATATTCAAAAATCTACCCTTAATATCATCAGACACAAATTATTTCCATGAAATAAGTAGAATATGCTACAAAAAGATCACTGGCAATTAAAGTGTAAAAAAAAAAAGATTAAACCTTCACTGGAAGATTTAGAAGATACAATTGAGCCAATATTTCAGAAAGGAAAAAAAAAAAAGAGCTAGAAAGCAGGAAAATATTTTTATTAAAGAGACCAAAAATAGGAAGAAAAATAGGAGGATATACAAGACTATTGAAAAGGTTCAATATCAAAAAAGCAAGAGAAAGAGAACTTCCTCATCTAGCCAAAAGGTACATGAGGAAATAAAGCTTAGAATATTCAAAGAAAGTTCACCAGAGCTGAAAGGCATGGTTTTCTAGAGTAGAGAAAAGACCCATGAATCTTCAACCTAGTAGTATAAAGAAAGATCAACACATCAAAACAGCACCGTGAAAATTTAGAATACCAGAGCTAGAGGAAGATGCTACGTATTTCCAGACAAACGAGAGACACAAGAAATATAATACTCAAAGCATTATATATCACAATAACTACAACAACACTGAAAGCAACATTTTGATAAAAAATATTTCTAACCTGTAACCCCATACCTAAGCAATTTCCAATCAAATTTGGAACAGTAAGACTCAAGAGACAGTCATAATGAGCACTGTCATGAAAGACAGTTACTGTCCTTGAACCAAGTAAATAAATCTGGCTCAGATTCATATTTGAACTTACCTTGTTCAGACCAGGACATAGCTGTGCCTGG